GGGAAATGTCCTATGTTGAAAGGTTGAGGGAAATCGGACTGACGACACTGGAGGACAGAAGGGTCAGGGGAGACATGATGACGACATACAAGATACTGCGTGGAATAGTTAAGGTAGACAGAGACAGGATGTTCCAGAGAGGGGACACAGAAATAAGGGGTCACAAATAGAAGCTGAAGACTCAGACGAGTCACAGGGATGTTAGGAAGTATTTCTTCAGTCACAGAGTCGTCAGGAAGTGGAATAGCCTAGCAAGTGACATAGTGGAGGCAGGAACCATACATAGCTTTAAGACGAGGTATGACAATGCTGAGGAAGCAGAGAGAGGATCTAGTAGCGATCAGTGAAGAGGCGGGGCCAGGAGCTGAGTCTCGGCCCCTGCAACCACAATTAGGCGAGTACAATTAGGTGAGTACAGACACACACACACAGACAGAACAAAAAGACACCACACACACACACACACACACACACACACACACACACACACACACACACACACACACATATACACACACACAGACACACAGACACACAGACACAACAGACACACAGACAGACACAGCCATACAGACACAAACATACAGACACACAGACACAGACAAACAGACAGACAGACAGACAGACAGACAGACAGACAGACAGACAACCACACACACACACACACACATACCACACACAGACACAGACACACAGACACAGACATACAGACACACAGACACACAGACACAGACACACAGACACAGACATACAGACACACAGACACACAGACACAGACACACAGACACAGACATACAGATACACAGACACACAGACACACAGGCACAGACACACAGACACAGACATACAGACACACAGACACAGACACACAGGCACAGACACACAGACACAGACATACAGACACACAGACACAGACACACAGACACAGACACACAGACACACAGACTCACAGACACACAGGCACAGACACAGACATACAGACACACAGACACAGACGTATTTCTTCAGCCACAGAGTAGTCAGTAAGTGGAATAGTTTGGGAAGCGATGTAGTGGAGGCAGGATCCATACATAGCTTTAAGCAGAGGTATGATAAAGCTCACGGCTCAGGGAGAGTGACCTAGTAGCGATCAGTGAAGAGGCGGGGCCCAGGAGCTCGGACTCGACCCCCGCAACCTCAACTAGGTGAGTACAACTAGGTGAGTACACAGACACAGACATACAGACACACAGACACACAGGCACAGACACACAGACACAGACATACAGACACACAGACACAGACACACAGACACAGACATACAGACACACAGACACACAGGCACAGACACACAGAAACAGACACAGACATACAGACACACAGACACAGACACAGACACAGACATACAGACACACAGACACAGACATACAGACACACTGACACACAGACACAGACACAGACATACAGACACACAGACACACAGGCACAGACACACAGACAGACACACAGACACAGACACATACCACACAAATCAAAATAAAAAAGAAATCAAGTCTAATATTCATGAATTTCTTGAGAAGCGCTAAACTCGTAGGGTTGGAGGAGGGTCATACAACACCTGAGTAATGGGAGGTAATGAGATGTGATGCAAGGAAGGGGAGGATAATTCCTGTTCCTCGGATCAAAGTGAAAAAATGACTGAGCAACGACAAGACAACAGCTCGCTGTTCTTGATTTCGGGAAGAACAGCTGGAAGAACAGCTGGAAGAACAGCTGGAAGAACAGCTGGAAGAACAGCTGGAAGAACAGCTGGAAGAACAGCTGGAAGAACAGCTGGAAGAACAGCTGGAATAACAGCTGGAAGAACGACTGAAACGATTAATATAAACCACAGATGTAAACGACAGATATAAATGACAGATATAAACGACTGATATAAACGACTGATATAAACGACTGATATAAACGACTGATACAAATGACTGATATAAACGATTGATATAAACGACAGTTATTAACGACACTTATTAACGACTAAAATAAACGACAGATATAAACAACAGATATAAACGACTAATATAAACGACTAATATAAAGGATAGATATAGTCACTTGGCACAAGGAAACACGAGAGGCTGTAATTTCTTTACCTATGACGACAAGGTTCGTGCTATGACGACAAGGTTCGTGCTATGACGACAAGGTTCGTGCTTTGACGACAAGGTTCGTGCTATGACGACAAGGTTCGTGCTATGACGACAAGGTTCGTGCTATGACGACAAGGTTCGTGCTATGACGACAAGGTTCGTGCTATGACGACAAGGTTCGTGCTATGACGACAAGGTTCGTGCTATGACGACAAGGTTCGTGCTATTCAATTCAATTCAAGTTTATTCTCTATAAGGGTTACAATGTGGGGTTTACAGGTTTTGGGTATTGTGTGGTTTACATGTTATAAAATACTAATTACAGAGGGGGCCACTAGAGCACCTAGCATGGCTAGGCATTTCGAGCAGACTTAAATTAATTCTTAACATTAAATCCTTACAGATTATGGTATTAAGGCTAAGTGACTACATAATAATTTGTGAGTTTAGCAATGTGAATGCTTTTGTTTTGGCACAATACAAGGTGTCTATATTGGAGTATCATAGGCAAACTTATGACTAGTTAGGATTTATTATTTTAAGATTAAGATTAGTATTTCTGGGTTTATAGTCAGTGGGTGAGTGAGTGTAAGTGTGAACCACCAGGTGGTTATCATGTAGTTAGTTGACGGGGTGAATCAGGGAGATAAGATGTTTTCTAACTGTAGTTTTGAAAGTGATGAATGTGTCTGCAGTTCTAGAGTTTTCAGGTAGGGTGTTCCAGATTTTAGGTCCTTTGAAATACATTGAATTTTTTTTAAAGGTTTAGTCGGACAAGGCTCGTGCTATGACGACAAGGTTCGTGCTATGACGACAGGGTTGGTGCTACCACAATTATACATGAAGGAATGGAAGGTAGGTCGGAGTCTGGTACCTGAGGGAGCGACTAAAACGACTCAAATACGTTGAAAGGGCGACTAAAACGACTAATATGCGTTGAAAGGGCGGTTAAAACGACACATATACGTTGAAAGGCGACTAAGAGAACCAAAATTCGTTGAAAGAGCGACTCAAATAATGGAGGGGAGGGGAAGATTAGGGAGGGGAACAGCCAGCAGCCAAGGCTGGATGTCCAGCACCTCCCTCTCTCTTCTCCCTGCCTCTCTCTCTCTCTCTCTCTCTCTCTCTCTCTCTCTCTCTCTCTCTCTCTCATCTCTCCTCTCTCTCTCATCTCTCTCCTTCTCTCCTCTACTCCTCTCCTCTGACTCTACAGTACAGTAGCACATGTCCAACGACACACTCCCCTTCCCCCTATAATAACAACCCTTCCCTATATAAAGCAGGCCCACTCTCTCTGTAATCACAACCCCCTTCTATAAGCAGAACCCCCCCTCCTTCTATACTCACAACCCCTCCTTTTAGAATCACAACCCCCTCTACAAACAACCATGACCACAACCTGAGAGAGAGAGAGAGAGAGAGAGAGAGAGAGAGAGAGAGAGAGAGAGAGAGAGAGAGAGAGAGAGAGAGAGAGAGAGAGAGAGAGAGAGAGAGAGAGAACTATTCACTCAGAATAACCAAATTTCCCAAAATGAGTAAATATTCCAGAGTGCATCACAATTGTAACTTAATATGCCAGAGTGTAAGCTAGTATTACGGAGTGTATTTTAGTATTCCGAAGTGTTAGTTAACTCTCCTAAGTGCAAGTTAATATTCCAGAGAAAGTAAATATTCCATTTTGGGGAATATTCTTAATTGCGAGTATCATTCTGAGTGTGGGTTAATATTCCTGAGTGTGGGTTAACATTCCTGAGTGTGGTTAATATTCCTGAGTGTGGGTTAATATTCCTGAGTGTGGGTTAATATTCCTGAGTGTGGGTTAACATTCCTGAGTGTGGTTAATATTCCTGAGTGTGGGTTAATATTCCTGAGTGTGGGTTAATATTCCTGAGTGTGGGTTAATATTCCTGAGTGTGGGTTAATATTCCTGAGTGTGGGTTAATATTCCTGAGTGTGGGTTAACATTCCTGAGTGTGGTTAATATTCCTGAGTGTGGGTTAATATTCCTGAGTGTGGGTTAATATTCCTGAGTGTGGGTTTAATATTCCTGAGTGTGGGTTAACATTCCTGAGTGTGGGTTAATATTCCTGAGTGTGGGTTAATATTCCTGAGTGTGGGTTAATATTCCTGAGTGTGGGTTAATATTCCTGAGTGTGGGTTAATATTCCTGAGTGTGGGTTAATATTCCTGAGTGTGGGTTAATATTCCTGAGTGTGGGTTAATATTCCTGAGTGTGGGTTAATATTCCTGAGTGTGGGTTAATATTCCTGAATGTGGGTTAATATTCCTGAGTGTGGTTAATATTCCTGAGTGTGGGTTAATATTCCTGAGTGTGGGTTAACATTCCTGAGTGTGGGTTAATATTCCTGAGTGTGGGTTAATATTCCTGAGTGTGGGTTAATATTCCTGAATGTGGGTTAATATTCCTGAGTGTGGTTAATATTCCTGAGTGTGGGTTAATATTCCTGAGTGTGGGTTAATATTCCTGAGTGTGGGTTAATATTCCTGAGTGTGGGTTAATATTCCTGAGTGTGGGTTAATATTCCTGACGAGTTAATATTTTAGTGTGAGCAAATACTCTAAATTTTAGTGAATATTCCAGCGTGTGAGTTAATATTCCTGAGTATGAGTTAATATTCCTGAGTATGAGTTAATATTCCAACGACATTTGGGCTAATATTCCATCATCAGCCTATAAATATTCCGTTAAAAAAAATGCAGTAGTGGTGAAACTAATGTAATAGGCCGATAAAAAATATTATAGGTTTGAGTAACCGTCAATAACTCTGGGCGAAGAACTTTTAGCACTAAGAGTTCTGTGTTCTAATCCTCTCTTTTGTTAACATCACTTGTAAAGTCGGACTTAACACTCACTTGCACAGTCAGTCTTGGCCATCGTTGTCGCAGAAGTGTCGCCGGGGGTGGGGAAGGAGGGACACCAGGGGAGACAGTATTTACAAGTAAAAATAAAGAAGCGTTCCCGTGAATCCTTATGGAAGTGGTCGCGTCACGGGCCCTCCGGTTCTTGCACGAGCGCCGGGACCAGAAGAATCCACCCCGCGACCTCAACTGTCTGGTTTTGCGGCGTTGTTGTAACTCCGCGTTCGCACTGTTTCGTGAAGGGCTGCAGGAGGCGGAGGTGGTCGTCGGTAATGGTGGTGGTGGTGTTGGACTCCTGATGTTGATGCTGACTCGGCGAAGGTTACAATCGGACTGATGCACGGAAGGTCGCCCGCACCACCATTTATATACTCCCCTTCACCTGGGCTGACGCGGGCTGGCTCTATCCTCCTTTCATCCCAATTCCTGCTCCTCCTGCTTTCTACAGCCTCCCGAGCTCCAGCCTCCGGCTACTCCCAAACCTGCCTATCTGGCTAGGGCAAAAGCCACCCCGAAAGACCAATTCATGGCTTGAAATGAGGTTTTCTTTCTTGTGGTTCCCCGAGGCGAGTCTTGTGTCACCTTAAAGCCTTCCTCATGAGGCCTGCCGGGCCGCGCCTCCACTTAAGAATGAATGAGAACCAACCACCCTTTTACGGAACGAACCATCCATCATCCCACAAGAAAGAATGGGCAGTGCAGCAGGCCCACTGGCCCATACTAATCAAGGGCCTCCATCCAACCATTCCACGAAGAACAAGAGTCGCAATACCGAAGCTGGGATGTAATTTACGCTAGCCCAATAACACTCTAAAACCATCATCAATTCTAATATTTCTCTATCCCACTTGAAGTATATCAAAACATTAGGAACCAGATCTTGTAAATCTACCATTCTTTCGTATGTGTAGAAAACATCTGTACATTGTGCCATCAGGCTAGGAAGACTCTCGCCAGGCCAGCTGGAATATGTTGCCAGGCCAGCTGGAATATGTTGCCAGGCCAGCTGGAATATGTTGCCAGGCCAGCTGGAATATGTTGCCAGGCCAGCTGGAATATGTTGCCAGGCCAGCTGGAATATGTTGCCAGGCCAGCTGGAATATAATCAGCCGGGAACTATAAAGCAAGAAGAGTGCCACTATAATTCTTTTTCAAATTATTATTATTATTATTAGCATGATAATAATTAACATTATCATTATTATTAACATTTTTTTTTTCTTCTTCTTCTTCTTCTTCTTCTTCTTCTTCTTCTTCTTCTTCTTATTATTATTATTATTATTATTATTATTATTATTATTATTATTATTATTATTCTTTCTTTCAACCCACCGGCCGTATCCCACCGAGGCAGGGGGGGCCCCAAAAAGGAAAAAAAACAAAATGTTTCTCCTTTTACATTTGTAATATATACAGAAGAAGGGGTCACTAGCCCCTTGCACCTGGCATTTTAGTCACCTCCTACAACACGCATGGTTACGGAGGAAGAATTCTGATCCATTTCCCATGGAGGTAAACAAGAAATAAACAAGAACAAGAACTAGTAAGAAAATAGAAGAAACCAAAGGGGTGTACATATATATATTTTTTAATAAAATATATTATTTATATATTATATATATATTTATATATATATATATATTATAATATATATTTAATATATATATATATATATATATATATATAAATATATATATATATATATATATATATTTTATATATATATATATATATATATTTTTTTTTTTTATTATCACACTGCCGATTCCCACCAAGGCAGGGTGGCCCCGAAAAAGAAAAAACTTTCACCATCATTCACTCCTTCACTGTCTTGCCAGAAGGGTGCTTACACTACAGTTTTTAAACTGCAACATTAAAACCCCTCCTTCAGAGTGCAGGCACTGTACTTCCCATGTTTCCAGGGGCTCAAGTCCGGCTGCCGGTTTCCTGAACACCTTCATAAATGTTACTTTGCTCACACTCCAACAGCACGTCAAGTATTAAAAACCATTTGTCTCCATTACTCCTATCAAACACGCTCATGCATACCTGCTGGAAGTCCAAGCCCCTCGCACACAAAACCTCCTTTACCCCCTCTCTCCAACCTTTCCTAGGCCGACCCCTACCCCGCCTTCCTTCCACTACAGATGATTACCTCTTGAAGTCATTCTGTTTCGCTTCCAATTCTCTCTACATGTCCGAACCCCCTCAACAACCCTTCCTCAGCCCTCTGGACAACAGTTTTTGGTAATCCGCACATCCTCCTAACTTCAAAACTACGGAATCTCTGAATTATATTCACACCACACATTTGCCCTAGACATGACATCTCCACTGCCTCCAGCTTCTCCTCGCTGCAAACTTTTCATCAAACCTGCTTCACACCCATTATGAGCGTTGGTAATACGGATACTCTCATACTCACTCTTTGCCTCCAAGGACAAAGTTCTTTGTCTCCACAGACTCCTAAGTGCACACTCACTCTTTTTCCCTCATCCAATTCCATGATTCACCTCTTCTTTCATAGACCATCCGCTGACAGTCCACTCCCAAATTATCTGAATACATTCATCCTCTCCTTACTACTCTACCTCCAATCTGATTTCAATCTTTCATCACTACTCTTTTTGTTATCCTCATAAACTTACTCTTTCCTGTATTACCCTTTAATTTTCTCTCTTTTGCACACCCTTTCCAAATTCATCCACCCAATCTCTGCAACTTCCTCTTCAGAATCTCCCAAGAGCACAGTGTCAGCAGCAAAGGCAACTTTGACAACTCCACTTTGTGTGTGATTCTTTCTTTTAACTCCACGCCTCTTGCCAAGACCCTCGATTTACTTCTCTTACAACCCCATCTATTATATTATTAAACAACCGGTGACATCACACATCCTTGTCTAAGGCCTACTTTTTACTGGGGAATAATTTTCCCTACTTCCTACATACTCTAACTTGAGCCTCACTATCCTCGTAAAAAACTCTTCCTCTGCTTTCACGTAAAACCTACCTCCTACACCTACACTTGCAACATCTGCCACATTTGCCCCCATATCCACCCTGTCAACGCATTTCCAAATCCATAAATATGCACAAAGACATCTTTAGCCTGATATAAATACTGTTCACTTATATGTTCACTGTAAAACACCTGGTCCACAACCACTCACTTTCCTAACAGCCTCACTTGTTCATCTGCTTTTCCTATTCTCCCGTTTCGTACTCTTTATTCTTTCAATAATAATCTAACATACACTTTACCAGGTTACTCAGCAGACTTATCCCCTATAATTTTTGCACTCTTTTATCATTGACTTTTTACAAAGGAACTCATGCATGCTCTTGCCAATCCCCTGGGACCTTACCCCTCTCCATACATTTATTTAAATTTATAGCACCAACACTCCAAAAACTATATCCCCCCCAAAAAAACTGCTTTTAACATTTATATCTTTATCCCATCATTCCCGGCTGCCTTACCCCTTTTCATTTTACCTAATGCCTCACGACACTTCCCCCACACTCACATCTGCTCTTCATCAATCCTACAAGATGTTATTCCCTCCTTACCATATACACGAAATCACAAGCTTCCCTATCTTCATCATACATGTAACAATTCCTCAAAATATTCCCTCATTTACCAAATACCACTTATACCTCTCCATTTAATAAATCTCCTCTCCTATTTTTAACTGTTCAAAATCCATTTGTTATCTAGACAGTTTCTTAACTGTTAATCTCACTCTAAATTTTTCTTATTTTCAAAAAAAATAGTTGATTAACATCTCACCCACTCTTCATTGCTGTCTTTTTCTAACATTGCTTCACCCTACTTCTCGTAACCTCTCTCTTTTCTTCTCCATATACTCTTCCCTCCTTGCAAATCAATTCTACTTTGGTAAAAACTTCTCATATGCTATCTTTTTCTCCTTTCTCTCTCTTTACATCTTAATTCCACCATCGCTCTCTTCCCTCCCGCACCACTTGCCTGTCAACCACAATTACTTATGCTGAATCACATAACACTACATTTTATAAACCTACACATACTCTTCGACCCCATTGCCTATGCTTATCATTAGGCCCATCTATCCTCCAATAGCTGTTTATATCTTACCTAAATGCTCCTTTTTAGTTATAAAACCTTCACTCTCTCTTCCCGTTGCTTCTATTCTTTCATTGTATCCATCTACCTTTTACTCTCAGTGTAGCTACAACTAGAAAAGTGATCTGATAGATCTGTGGCCCCTCTATTAACATGTTACATCCTGAAGTCTACTTCAACAGTCTTTTATCTACCTATACATAATCCAACAACTTACTGTCATTTCGCCCTACTTCATATCTTGTATACTTTTTATTCTCTTTTTCTTAAAATATGTATTACCTATAACTAAACACTTTCTATACAAAGTTCAATTAAAGGCCCATTATCATTTACACCTGGTACCCCCTACACTTACCTACCACACCTCTCTTAAAAGTTTCTCCTACTTTAGCATTCATGGTCCCTACCACAATTAATCTCTCACTTGGTTCAAAGGCTTCCTATTCATTCACTTAACATCGCTCCCAAAATCTCTCTTCTCCTCTTGCATTCCTTATTCCTCAAGGTGCATACAGGCGTATTAATGACCCACTTCTCGCATCCAACCTTTTCTTTAATCCAACATAATTCTTGAATTTTTACACATTCATATTTCTCTTTTCTCCTTCCATAACTGACATTTAACATTACTGCTACCCCTTTTCCTTTGCTCTAAATCTATCAGATAAATCCAGATTTAATCCACATTTATTGCCCCCACCTGGAAACCTTTCTCCTATCCCCTTCAGCTTTGTTTCGCTTAGGCACGGAACATCCAACTTCTTTTCATTCATAACATCAAGCAATCATTGTTCTTTTCATCCGCACTACATCCACGCACATTTAAGCATCCCAGGTTTTATAAGTTTTTCTTCTTCTCTTTTTTAGTAAGTTGTCTACAGGAATAGGGGTTTACTGCCATTGCTCGGCATTTGAGTCAGCATCATACGACAGCATGGCTTACGGTAGGAAGTATTCTTTTCCTACTTCAACATGGCCAATAGAAGAAATAAAGAAGAACAAGACTATTAGAAAAAGGGAGAAAAACTAGAGGTATGTATTTATATATATGAATGTGCGTGTCTGTGTACTGTGTGACCAAAGTGTTAGTAGGGAGTTGCAAGATACTCCCGTTATCTAGTTGTTTATGAGACAGAAAAAACCAGCAATCTACCATTTCATGCAAAACAGTTACTGGTTTCTTTTCACAGTCTTCTGGCAGGACGGTAGTACTTCCCGGCGTGGTTGCTGTCTACC